TTCACTGAGAACGACTCAACTGAGCGAGCGATTCACTGAGAACGATTCAACAGAGCGATTCACTGAGAACGATTCAGAGCGACTCACTGAGAACGACTCAACAGAACGATTCACTCATGAACGATTCAACAAAACGATTCACTGAGGACTCAAAGAATAAAAGATAGAAAAAGGAGCAGCATTAAAAAAAATTGAAGGACATGAAAAAAAATGCATAACAAAAAAACTAGAAAAAAGGAAAAAAATTCATAATTTAATAAATAGAAAAGAAAAAAAAACAATGAACAAAATAAAGAAAAATCATAAAGAAAAAAAAAGAAAGTAAAAATATTTTAAACAAAAAGAGAAAATAGCAAAAGAATAAATAAAAAGGAAAGACAAAATAAATGGAAAAAAGAAAAAGGGGAAAGAAAATAGATTAAAAGAAAAGAAAAAATATATAATTAGTGAAAAAAGTTTTTAAAAATGACAAAATAAAAAAAATTATGAAAATTATAAAATCATGAAAATCAATTAATAAAAAAATTTTTTTAAAAAGGAGGAAAAATAAAGAAGACAGACAGACAGAAAAATAAAGCAAGTGAGCAAGCAGGCGGAGTGTTTGTGTCAGTACCAGTCTGTAGGACGTCCAGCGCACAGACGACACGCGGTCAGTACAGAGACAGAGCGCCAGCGGCCGCAGATAATCATGGACGTCCTGAGCGCTGTACAGCTCCAGCAGCAGCACCAGCTGCCTGTTACACACACACACACATATACAGGTCAGAACACACACACACACACACACACACACACACACACACACGTGTGAAGGATCGTACTCAGCCAGCTCGGAACGAAACCTCCAGTTACGACTGTTATCCGTCACCAGGAACTCCTGCAGCTGATACAGATACTTCCTCCGAGTGTCCTGATGCAGCAGCTGCAAGACCAACAACACACACATCATCATCATCATCCTCCTCCTCCTCCTCCTCCTCCTCCAGAAACGAGCCTGACCACTGGCCAGACTGCCTGTCTCTAAATAACCAAGCCAGACAAAGAAATGAAGAAAACACAAAAGTCAAATAAAAAGAAATAAACAGAAAATAATACAAAGGAAAGAATGTATGAATGAATAAATAGGAAAAAAGGGAAAAGCAAAAAAAGGAAAAAAGAAAGCCCCCCCCTGTAATGTGCAGAAACGAGCGGATGTGACCTTGAGGAAGTCGTAGAGATGCTTGAGGACGCCGATGCGAACCTCGTCCAGGTCCTTCAGGAAGCTGTTGAAGACGGGCACCAGATGAGCAGCGGTCAGCTGATCCCCCAGAATCAGAGCCAGCTCATGGATGGAGAACGCCAGCGTCCGCCGCACCTTCCACTGACACACACACACACACACACACACACGGTCAGCACCTGCTCTCGCTCCAGCGCCTGTCGTTAGCGTCTCACACACACACACCTGCATGTCGGAGGCCAGCGTCTCGTACGTGTCCCGCAGGCAGTGCCAGTTCTGTCGTCCCAGAGTCAGTGCTACGCCCGGCAGACTGAACGCACAGTGCCTCGCGATCTCCATGTCCAGAGCAATGCATGATGGGAATGAGAGGGTCAGAGCAATGCATGATGGGATTGAGATAGATTGAGACAGTGATGTGGCACTGACCTGCTGTTTGGATTTTCTCTGGTCTTCAGGATTCAGGCAGCAGTCGCTCACGTCAGAATCATCGTCGTCACGCGTCACATGTAGAGAGGAATCACGCCTCTGAAACAACACACATGAATCCATTCAGCTCAGCCAGATTCAGCACGAGTCATCTACACATCATTTCTACACTTCATTCTATGAACTCAAGTCATGAACAGCAATATTGATCTACAGATAGAGACTCTGGTTAGCATCAAGTAAAACGAATCTTTCAGTTCAGTTTGGAATCAGTCAGTTTGAACCGATTCATATAAATGAACTGAACTCTGACGCTGCTATAAATGAGAAATGCTATTAAAACATCTGTGTGAAGAGACTAGTAACGATACTAACTAGTCTAATGACACAATCTTTAGGAAACTTAATGACCAAATAATAAAAAGAACATTAAAGGGACAGTTCACCCAAAACCCAAAAACATTAAAAAAAAAAGATATTCTGAAGAAGGTTGGTAACCATTGACTTCCATAGTATTTTGTCTGACAGGAGTGTGTGTGTGAGACAGTGAGTGAGTGTGTGTGTGTGTGTGTGTGTGTGTGAATGAATGAGTGAGTGAGTGAGTGAGTGTGTGTGTGTGTGAATGAATGAGTGAGTGAGTGTGTGTGTGTGAATGAGTGAGTGAGTGAGTGTGTCTGTGTGAATGAGTGAGTGAGTGAGTGTGTGTGAGAGAGGGAGAGGGAGAGAGAGAGAGAGAGAGAGAGAGAGAGAGAGAGAGAGAGAGAGAGAGAGAGAGAGAGAGAGAGAGAGAGAGAGAGAGAGAGAGAGAGAGAGAGAGAGAGAGAGAGAGAGAGAGAGTGAGAGTGTGTGTGTGTGTGTGTGTGTGTGAATGAATGAGTGAGTGAGTGAGTGAGTGAGTGTGTGTGTGTGTGTGAGAATGAATGAGTGAGTGAGTGTGTGAGAGAGTGAGTGTGAGTGTTCACCTGTGTGTCGGCTGACAGGTGTTCTGAGGGCTGCTGGGAGCTGAAGGGGTTTGATCGAGCGGCTCGAGGCTCCAGGAAAGCATCTTCCAGTCCAGAGTCCAGCGCCGTGGCTCTCAGAGCAGCCGTCAGAACATCCACTTGTGCTGGACACAGAACACACTCATAATAAACACTCTCCTGTATTAGGACGGTCCATTTAACACCTTAATTAGGTGTGATTATCTATGAAATAATAACATGATTAGCAGATTTCCCCCGTCCAGAGCTGTCCGTCATCTCACACTGATGCTGATGACCATGAAGCAGGACGACTGCGTGATGAAGTCTATTAGAATGTAGTTTAATGAGCACAAAAATCCCCCTTATATTCATATCATATGATATAGTTCAGCAATATCACACCAGCAAGAGTGCCGTTTCTCCCCAATATCTGCTCCACTGACTCATACAACAGTTCACACAGTGGCTATTTAAGATTTAATCGCACATCATGTAATTAGATGCTAAATGTTAAAGGTTTGACAGCAGCGCTCAGTCTCTCTCAGTTCAGAAGAATCCTCAGATGTGACGCAAACACACTAAAAGCCCGTTTCTGTGCGTCACTCCTTCTGTTTTTCTGCTCGGTGTTTCAGCAGCTTCCTGAACTCATTTCCTTCCCCCGACACGAAGGTCTCTCTGCGGCGAGGACAGACTCTCACGGTCCCTCAGAAGTGCAGATCTGAGCGGTTAGGGTCAGGTCACTCACGGCTTTCTGTGCTCAGCTGTCACAGCGATGTTGAACCAGGGTTTCTTCGACTCTATCAGTGTCTACTTCACACACAACGGTGAGAAACTACTGAACTGAATCACGTTATCAACCACAGAAACACCTCAATAAAACAGCTCGAGATCAATAGTCACGCATCTGCCTCAGAAAAGACAAACCATAAACTTGGTTAACTAGAGAAAATAACTCATTTGATCAATTTGAGCATTTTGATGAATATGCGCACCGTTACATATTTTTTGTCTAAATTATGGAATAAATCTGTCATCGTGAAAATATGTTTTTATTACAGACGTTGTTTAAATGTCTATTTATATTAATAATAATATTTCAACAGCAAATCTGAGTATAAACTATTTATAATTAGATTATTAAAGAGTTGATATAAAACTGCCTTATGTGAAATCTACGAGTGTTGATTATTAAATTGAATTAACTGATTATTAAATAAACATCATATTTTTACTATTGTAATGTACACTACCGCTCAGAAGTGTGGGATCAGTAAGACTTGTAATGTTTTTAAAGAAGTGTCTTCTGCTCATCAAGGCTGCGTTTATTTGATCACAAATACAGAAAAAAAACAGAAATCTTGCAAAATGTTATTACAATATAAAATAATGGTTTCTATATTAATATACATTAAACTGTGCTGTATTTCTGTGATGCGCAGCTGTATTTTCAGCATCATTCCTCCAGTCTTCAGTGTCACATGATCTTCAGAAATCAGTATAATATGCTGCTTTATTATCAGAGCTGGAAACTAATATGTTTTTGGAAACTGTGATACTTTTTTCAGGATTCTTTGATGAATAAAAAGTTAAAAAGAACAGCATTTATTAAAAATATTAATATTTTCCAACAATATAAACCTTCACTATCGCTTCTTAACAATTAAACACATCCTCGCTGAATAAAAGCTTTAATTTCTTTCAAAAAAAGAAAGAATATAAATGTACCGACCCCAAACTTTGGAACTGTAGTGAATATTGTTAGAAAAGATTTCCATTTTAAATAAACGCTGTTCTTTTTAACATTTTATTCATCAAAGAATCCTGAAAAAAGTATCATCTTCCAAAAATAATATTAAGCTGCTCAACTGTTGATAATTCTAATAATAATCGGCATATTATACTGATTTCTGAAGATCATGTGACACTGAAGACTGGAGGAATGATGCTGAAAATACAGCTGCGCATCACAGAAATACATTACAGTTTAACACAGATTCACACAGAAAACTGCTGTTTTACATTGTAATAATATTTCACAATATTAAATTTTTCCTGTATTTTTGATCAAATAAACGCAGCCTTGATGAGCAGAAGAGACTTCTTTAAAAACATTAAAAATCGTTCTGATCCCGTCATGAAAATCCGTCATGAAAACAAGTTTTTAATGCAATCAACTTTTAAATGTTTATATTTCAACAACGACTTGAAGTAGAAACATAATTAGATAAAACCACCTCATGCGATTTACATTTTCATATATAACTCGATGAACTGATTACATAAACTTTGGCTTAATGGAGTTCTGAAATCCTGGTCAGCTCACCTTTGACGTCGGGGTCGTCGGTGTGTGGCTCCAGGTTCTCGATGAGCTCCTGCAGCTGTGTTCTGCCCAGCGCCGGGGCCGGGGCCGGGGCCGGGGCCGAGGGCCGCCTGTCCTCCTCCTGCAGCAGCTCCAGCTGGATCTGAGGGATGGGGGTCCTCCAGTAGTGGAAGGAGTTGAAGAGCTCCTGCTCCGGGATCTCGTCTGATGAAGGAAGGCAGCAGGACTCGTCTGCGCTCAGTCTCTCGGCCGTCTGCTCTCCTCCATCAGCGGCGTCTGCGTTAGAGCTGGACGAGTCAAACACACCTGAGTGAGTGTGTGTGTGTGAGTGTGTGTGTGTGTCTCAGAGCTCAGCACCAGCCTCTCGTCTCACCTGCGCTCGTCTCGGAAGCACTGAGCCGTGTTACTGCTGGGGCTGGCGAAGGTGGAGATGAACGGCCCGAGCGACTGAAACGCAGCCTGACGCACCTGTGAGCAACACAGAAACCACTCCATCTAGGCCTACAAATGGCATTTACTGCATAACGTGTGTGAAGTGATCTCCCGCGCGGCTGTGAAAGACACTATTCAAACAGAAAACAAACCGCTTCACTTCATTCAAGAGTAGGATGTACTTAAGAAGTAATAA